GTCTTGTAAAGTATTCGAATAAATGTATTCGAATAAAAGTATTTGAATACTTTTTTTGTATTTGAATACTATTCTAAATAGATTAAAAAAAATATATTCGAATACGTATTCTGAATATCTTTTTTTAGTATTTTTATTTTATATTTAAATACTAAATTTGAAAAAAAAAATGTTTGTGTTTATAAATTGTAATCCTGGGTATTGCCGTAGTGGGCATTAAAAACATAAAACATAGTATTAGCCATAGACATTATACTAGTTGAGTTGATGTGCGGTACTGCGGTGTACGGACGTAGTACGTACGGTGTACCTACCAGCGTTGTCACGTTTATACTTTATACGCCGGAATTGCATACATACTCAGCTGACTATTATAACTTATAAGGACATAATATTAAGGTATATCGTATATGGTATTACTGTATTAGCACGAAAAACCAGATAAATAGTGATACCTAGTAATTTGTTATTGGCACTTGGCAGTGTAGATAATATTCTATTAATTATCAGAAGACGGGGAAAAATTTTATTTTTAGAATGTTCCGTTTATGATAACATTCATAACAATTATGGTTTCAGTTTTCTCACACACTACACAGTACACACACATTAGTCATTATAATTTATAGTAGGTATTTTGGTTTAGTGTATTATACATACGTCTTGCCAGTTGCCACGCTCTCCAAAATGCACAAATCGAAAAAACTGTGATTGATATTTCCAGCAATATTGTCATTACCTATTTTATACTTATTAGTTAGGTATTAGTGTATTACTTAATATAATATTAATTAATGCAATACTTTATACTACCTAGTGACTTGAATTTTTTCACTTTGGTTATTCACCGTTTCGTTTATTTGTTTATTTGTATTTTGTACAACTAAAATGGCCTTAAGTGAAAATGAATCGACAATTAAATCAACACTTCCATGGATTGAATATAATGATCACTTCAAAATAATTAAATTGTTAAAAGATCAACTAACATATCAAACATATGAGGTGAAATGCAAACATTGTGTAACTACTAAATCAAGAACCGCTGATACTAGATCCAAAACCAATTTACGAAATCATCTAAAGGTGAGTACTTTAGTCTTGAATATTCATCATTTATACTAGTCAAAAAGTATACAATAAATATTTTTAAAAAACTTAACCAATATTTTGTCAAAATAATTTGTATTGCAGGATAAACACTCTAATATCCACTCTGTGAAAAAATTGCTTAGCTTGAAAAGAAGTGATATTGGTTTTAATGAAGGACTGCAGGATTCTGCTGATTTAAATAATTCTAAAACATCAAAGGCTGCAATATGTAATCAACCTTCCCTGTTTGAATTTACAGGTGTTAGAAAAAGCATTGTTTCTCAAAGTGAGTAGAATAATTAAAATGTTATGAGGTTTTTATATTTATATTTATTCTAAGTGCATTTTTTTAGGTGAATTTGATCAATTAATCCTAAATTTAATTGTAAATGCAACACTTCCATTCAGTCTAGTTGAACAAAATGATTTTAAATTACTTTGCCAAAAAGGATTTCCTAGTCGTACATTGCTTTCACGACCAACCCTGATGTGTAGATTAAATGCAGCATTTGATCATCTTATATGTAATTTAATTAAAGATATGTCTAGTGTTAAATATCTTACAACTACAGCTGATTGTTGGAGCATTTTTAAAAGGTATAGATATACATTTTTTATTATTAAAATTACTAAATTCTAAAATGTTCTTTTCTAGTAAGTATTATAAATTATAATATAACTTTATATAGATCATACATTGGTATTACATGTCACTGGATTGATGAAGAAAACTTAAGTAGGAAATCTGTACTTTTGACAATTAAAAGATTGGATGGGCGACATACATTTGATGTGCTAGCTGCTGCAATGGAATCAGTTTATATAAAATTTGAGATTCTAAACAAAATATCTTTTACAACAACTGACAATGGGTCTAATTTTGTTAAAAGTTTCAAGTAATTTAATCAGTACCGACGGTACCCTTAAAATTAAGTTTTAATTTATTTTCATATACATTTTAGAATGTATGGATGTACACCTATCATTGAGGTTGAAAATGATATTCAAGATCCAGGTCTTAAAGAACCTGAGTATGATATTGATGGTGAAGAAAATAAGGATGATGAGGATAACATTGATGAGATTTGTAGTTCAATAATTCCAATCACTGAAATTATTAAAAATAATGTTGATGACTTTAACTATAATTTACCGGCCCACCACCGTTGTGCTGCACATACTTTGAACTTAGTTGCGACAAAAGTAATCATTGAATTTTCATATTTAATAAATAAATTCTAAGCTAAATATTTAATATTTTAGGATATTGAAAATGCAATAAACAAACCTGGTATTCATGGAGAACACCAATTATACAAAAAGCAAAGCCGTCTAACTATGTCTAAATGTATGGCTATATGGAATAAACAGAGTCGTTCCACAAGTATGGCTGACATAATTCACAAATGTTTAGATGTATACTTGAAATGTCCAAATGATACAAGATGGAACTCAATGTTTGATTCTATCAAATTCATGTTACTTCAGATAAAAAAAAGCCCGAGCAAGTTTTTAAGAATGTGTGATGAATTAAATGTTGTGCGATTAACTAAAAGTGATATTGAATGGTTAGAGGAGTATGTAGTTGTGATGGAACCATTAGCTGTGTGCTTAGATATTTTGCAAGGAGAAAAGTTTATGTATTTTGGTTATTTAATCCCATCAATTTCTCAACTTATTTCACAGTATGAGAATATGAAAATAAATAAAAATTTCAAGTTTTGTAGATCATTAATTGATATAATTTGTTTCAATGTTGAAAAAAGATTTGAGACCCAACTAACTGACTCATTTCTTATAATTGCTGCCATATCTCACCCTTTTTTTAAAACCGATTGGATAAAAAATGATGTTAAAAGGGAAATAGCTATTAATCAGTTTAAAAAAGTAGTTAATGAATTTTCCAAGTCTTCTTCCAATGTGGAAGATGATTGTACACCAGAAACTATTTGTAATAAAAATCAATCTGATGATGTATTAAATACTTTTTTTTCTAATTGGTCTAACAAAACAAATACCAATAATTCTGCCGAAAATGAAATATTGAATTATTTTTCTAAGAGCCCAACAAAGAACTTAACTTCATTGGATGATACTCCTATTATAAAAAAAGTTTTTTTAAAATACAATACACCTTTACCAAGTAGTGCACCAATAGAGCGTATATTTAGTGTGGGGAGTGCAGTTCTGACCAAGAAACGAGGGAAAATGACTGATGCACATTTTGAAAAAGTTATGATGATAAAATGTAACAAAATGTAAATTTTTTTCTTATTATTTTATAGTTTATTAACTATTAGTATATAATTATTATGTAGAATATAATAAAGAAAAGTTATAATAAATTAATGTGTCTACTCACTACTGTCTATGACTTAAACATATAAAAAAAGTGTATTAAAAAAAATAGTATTCTCAAAGTATTCGAATATTTTTTTGAGTATTCCAGAATATATTCTAAATATATTTTGTGAAAATTATTCAAATACGTATTCTGAATACCTTTTTAACCGTTTATTCGAATACGTATTCCGAATACAAAATAAAAGTATTCTTTACAAGACTG